AAAGCTAACATCTTATGTCTCTTTCAATGACAAATTTAAGTGCACTTTTGGTGCAAATTTGGTTTGTCTATCAATTACGCGATGCAAGAAAATCAACGGTGACAAAGAAGAAGAAAAGACAGTAAAAAGTGACTCTTAAGAATAATAATCATTGCAACCTAAATTTTTTTTAAACATAATTATTTTTATCAACTCAAAATATTTTTTGTCGACATTTGTTTCAATTTAGTGGGTTAAATAATCTTATTTACTGAAAATAAGCAAGTAAATATAAAAAGGGAATGTATGTTTGTATCATATAATTAAGTGCTCAAAATTTAAATGCCCATATATGCAATTTGCTAAGCACTATGGTGAAATGATGCAACACGAATTAAGAACCGATCGAAGAACTCAAATTTTAATTTTCTAATTCTCGGAATTTTAAAAAATTGACTATTTAAATTTGTTTATTTACATAGGAACAATTTTAATTTGTTAAATAAACTCTTCGATTCAAAATTAGTATGAGATTGAAATAAAAAGGAATTTGGAGAACTTCAAAATATTCAATTTTCATTTATAAAACAACCACCCTAGAATGAAATTCTAATTATTGCTTAGTAAAATCTTACCAAAAAATTCTAATGACTAAAGGACAAATTACTCCATTACAAGAGAAGAACTTCAGTTGAAAAATAAGACAAAGTAAAAGAAATAAGCGATAATAATATAAGGTGTATTGAATATTTGGTCTTTGCATTTATCATGTAACTGTAGAATCTACACTCGTATGGCATCATGAAACACATGCAGCAGGCAGTCAAAACACAAGAAACAGTTCCTTCTTAATTATTATTATTATTATTATTATTATTATTATTATTATTATTATTTGAATTATTATTATAATTATTTGAATTAAAAAATTTAGGTATTATATGATATGTCCCCTATAAAATGCGGCTATAAGGACGGATAAGGTAAAAAAAATATTTTTTAACTTGGAAAAGATATATTTTGAAGAATTTTGCAATGGAAAAATTCCTATATCTAAAATAAACAAGTAATTTTACTGATAAAGTTTGCAACAAAATAACTTAAAAATTCCCTCAAAATACATGTAAATTAAGAAAATTAATTTTAAAATCTTATAAAACATGGCGATGGGGGTTGTAGGGGGTCAAATAAGTTTACCTTTTTTTATTTTTTTTTATATATATACACTTCAATTGTCAATTATGTTAGGTTACTTGGGTATTTTTTAAGATGATATAGCTAAAAAAATTGACTACATAGTTTTTGTTAAATACAAATACACCATATTTTAATTACAGTAAAGTTCTCCAAACATTGGATGTTTGGTTGTGCACAATGCATCTTCGCTAGATAAGTTTTTGGAATCTGATCTAGCACATGTTGTGAGAAGACAAATTGGTCAAGTGTGACAAAAGTGTGGCTATCAACTTGGCACGCCAATTACGAAAGGCCTCGTAAGTTGTTGCTCTATAATGTTTTCGAATAAAACATTCCAAAACATGTTAAAAGAGTTGCTTCATTAATTAGTTTACAAACATGGAACATTGGTATAATATTGAGAGCATGTGTATCATTTTTGTGCTTCTCAATAATGTAGAAATAATATCACTTGAACATGAGAGTGACCCTAGCTATCTCACAAAGGGATTCTTAAGGTGGAAACCATAAGAGTAGTGTTTAGGTGGGTTCTCATGGTTGGTCTAGGGTTCGATTGTATATATTATTCTAATTGCAGCTTTTAAAAGAATCAGTTGTGATACGTGTCCCACTTTGTTCAAAAGGTTAAGTCGCTCAAAAATTTCCCCTCTTGTAGCAATATTGATGGTTCTTTATAAAGAAACTTAATTTTCATGCATCATAGGCTATTCGATTAAGGAAATATTACTTTGGTGAAACTACTTTACCAATATTAACATTATTCAAGTGTACCTCAAAAAATATTTTTATATTTTCGGAAAATGAATATAATATTTCCAAATATAATCAAGTGGGACAGTTCTTAATCTTAAAAATTCTTTTATAAGGAAAAAAGAATCACTCCATTATGCCAAAGTTTACATCATATTCTTCAAATATTTTGATAAACAACCATTATGGCTGCACACATATAATTATTTTTAGAATTTGCATTAAATTTTTAATTGAACCTTAAAACACACACGACACATATAATATATCCCTGTCGGCCAGCTATATATATAAATATACTCGAAATGTTAACATATAGTAATAAATCTTTCCCTTTAACAGCCATTGGATTAAGCAGAATCAATGATTGATTCATTGACATGTGGCCTTAATGATTAGGTTTTTCTTTGTCTTAGCAGCCAAGGACAATTTGGTATGGCCGACGAATACGAAAGAATACGTTTACTATATAGCTGTATAGGTTGTATATATGTATTGTCTGTAGATGGAGTTTTGCCAAATATTGAGTTGAGTAGCTTCCCAGTTTTCCTAATTTTTCCTTTTCTCTTTTCTACAAATTTTAATATTTCAACTCCCAATCAGCATGCAAGATCAATTTGCATTGAGAACAACTAAATTTTCCCTTAGATTTTCATGTTAACTGACAGTGATTTGCAAGATTTTGATGGGATCTTCATGGTTATGTCATGCGAGATTTAGATCAACCCATGATTAGGTATTGAAAACAACACACATAGTCATGATGCTTGCAAAAGAATCAATCTATGACTATTCATCAATATAATAAAGCATAAATCATATGTGTAATTAATGTGTGATTCTTACTCTTTATGTTGAAGTTCATGCAACAAGTCCCTACAACCGCCCATGATGGCTGGGTAACTGCTCAAGCAATTGTCTATGCTCTCTTGAATTTCTGGATTCGCCACTGATTGGAGTACTAGAATGGTTTTTCGAAATTAACTTGTATATATAACTAATTTGGTGTTAAACAATTGTTTTCTGCAAAATATATGAAGCTTTAGGGAATTAACTGAAGAATCAAACAATAATGAAATAATTCAAGAACAATAGTTGCAAGAAACTCTTAGGGTGCGTTTGATAGTCAATATTTTCCATGAAAAAAGTTTTTTTCCATCCAAATTCTTACTTTTATGCTGTTTGATTGCCATTTTTTTCATAGAAAATATTTTCCTAATTTTCGTCACGTGACTATATTTTCTTCAAAATCAAGAATGATATTTTCTTTAGACGGAGTAAATTTTATTTTTCAGGAAATTCACTATCTCTTTTACTTTCTCATTTATTCACTCTCTCTCATCTACCCGTCAATAAAAAATGAACAAATATAATATTTTCTAGGTTGAAAATTAAATCAATCAAACATATTTAATTAACAATTTTCATATAAATAAATTCTAGGCAATTGAATTATCTAGAATTTACTTTCTTTTCATGCAAATTCCAAGCTTATAATCCAACGCAGTCTTAAGATTAATTATTTCTCTAAAAGAATGTAACGAGAAATGAAAATACTGGTAGGTGGTTATCCCAATGCCAATGCCAACGAGTCTATTTTACTCAACGTAACTATAGTCATGAGCTTCTTCATCTCACCAATATGTCCGGCGCCTAGAAGTGTTCCACGCCTACGTCTAACTCCTAAATCCGCACCTTAATAGACGACTCTACCCAAGTAATTTACTCAGTTTTGCCTAATTCTAGATGCACTTTGATACTTGTCTCTTACTCGTTCTTATGTCTCTTAAGAAATTAACGAATCGATACTCGATGGACCGTTAAAAAATGTGAGCAGCTTCACGGCTGAGGTTCTGTGGGACCCCCACTAATTTTTGTGAAACTCAAGTGAAGCACATCGCCATTGACTATCATTTTGTGATAATCATCTGTTCAAATGGCTCATGCTTTCACGATGCCTCTTTCATCTGTTCAGTTCACTACTTTATGTGCCAAGATCGGAGTCTCACCGGACATGTTAAGGACACACTAATTAACAAGACAGACGAGGCTAACTATGAGCTCAACTTTTTCGTCTTAGCTCAATCCAATTCAGTCCATCCAACTGGAGTTCGTAGATTAGTTTGTTGCATTTTAAATTTTGTATTTAAGAGCATGATCTTATCTTAATACTTGTATATTGTAACCTCAGTTGAGGAAATGTTATATCGAAACCATTTTTAGTTCTCCAATTTATACCTATAAAAATTATTCAGATATTTGGAGAAATACTGCAAATCTCTATTTGATACGATCAACGGATCAAAAATAATCTTTGATATTTTGGAATAAATATTTCCTAAGGATCATTATTTCAAAGAAAACATCATTGCATACAAGAAAGTACTTCATGAATTTTATGTAGATTGATATTCTTATTATAATCATATCTTCTTTTGAAAGGGTGCCAAGGTTGATTTCGAGAAATTACGTTGTAAAATATTCAACAATATACACAATTTTGCTTCAAAATTTCGTTAATATAATTCAACAACAGACAATCTTAGAATGCTATTGTCGTACTCCATGTAATGAACCTATCCATATCTCTGTATTATATTTTTGCTGCACGTATCAATCCCATTTTTGGCATTAGGAAAGTGTACCAAAAGCACTTCTATTCCGGTACTCCCCAGACATTATACTTCAGAAACACGTGTAATCGTGTCCCGGGGGGGGTAGAGGGAGGGAAGGAGAGAGAGGGGAGCTTGAAGGGGTGGTAATGTGATTGCTGTGGGGCTATGATTAACTCATAAACTGAAGAAAAATGGAAATAAATTGTTGGTTAACATAAGGTAGAGTGGGGAAACGGACTGAGGGGGACCTTGAAGAGGGCAGAAAAGGGACATCTGCTCTTCTTGTGTTTGACTCTATCTTGTCTTTTTCGATGCATTTTTCTTCACTCACAAGGTAATCATCATATGTGTATGAGAATACTAACATATTTTGCTTCCACTTCACATAATCCTTCTTACCTTCTCTTTCTCTTTCTCATTATGTTCTTCTATATAGATTCATGTCACAGTCTCCATCAGCCCACTTGGAACCAGAAAATAAATTAGCCCATTTTTTGCCCATTATTTAGAATAATAATTCTGGGAAAATGAGGAAGCCTGGAGATCAAATGGTGAAGGAGAAATTGAATAACAATAAGGATAAATTGAGGAAGGGTTTATGGTCACCTGAAGAGGATGAGAAGCTGATGAATTACATGTTGATGAATGGACAAGGTTGCTGGAGTGATATTGCTAGGAATGCCGGATTGCAGAGGTGTGGGAAGAGTTGCAGGCTTCGATGGATTAATTATTTGAGACCTGACCTTAAGCGCGGCGCGTTTTCTTCTCAGGAAGAGGAGCTTATCATTCATTTGCATTCCATTCTTGGCAATAGGTATTATTTCTTTCTATATACGTGTGTGTGGATAATCTTGATCTGTGAGGATGGCACAATTAAAATGTAATTGAACAGTGAATATTAAGACGATATTGAAATGCCTTTGTGTACAAACAGGAGATACTAAACAGCTACATTGAAGACTCCATTCATAGACTAATAAATTGTGCTTCTAGCTAGTGATGACAAGAAGTTCCAGATTATGTTCATTTGCCTAATTTATTTATTGTTTCCCATTTTCCCTATAATCTGCAAATTTACACGGGCATAGCTAATTAACTTCTTGTCACTCCATTGATAGAACATTGATTTCTTTTATAATGATATTTGACCCTTTACCTTTTCTAATTTAAAAACTTTTCAATTTTTAGGTAAATTACATTTACTCTGGAAACATTAATTTTACATCAGACCCTTGACAAAGAGCCTATATTAATTCATGTACTTAGAGATGATCAGATAACTAATGCATTTCTGCATGATTTAGAAAGAAATAAAAACTTGAATTTAATCGAAAATTGGATGATTACTCGATAAAAATGGAATTATGGCCTTGTTACCTTCTGTTCATTCCCATGAACTAGTATACAAAAAATGAAATTAGGAGACACATTTTTTTCTGTGCTGAGGAGTTGATTAGGCCTCCACGCATTCATTTTTAGGATTGAAGTGCATATGTTTCCAATTAATTCTTTATTCTCTAGGTTTGTGGAAAATTTAACTCAGGAAATAAATATTTTAACCTGATAAACTGTCACTTGTTTAATAGGAAATAAACCTTGACATATTTTTCCTAACATTTTTTCAACTTTATGTAAGGTGGTCTCAAATTGCTGCACGTTTACCAGGCAGGACAGACAATGAAATAAAGAATTTTTGGAATTCCTCCGTAAAGAAGAGGTTGAAAAATAATAATAATAATTCAACATCCTCCCAAGACTCAATATCAGAGCCTAGAGGTGCTGTCATGCAAGGACTAATACCCATGAACGGATATGATATCGCAACAATGTACATGGATTCAACGTCGTCCTCTTCTTCCTCCATGCAAGCCATGGTTCTGAACAGCCAGTTCAACCCTTTTCCTCCAATGGACAACAAATTTAATGTCGTAAATGGTACAATTGCTGGTTCATTCGATTTCTCGACATGCTTACAAGAAGTTAATATGGCAAATAGGGGAGTTGGGCAGGATTGTGGAGTCATGGAACCATATGTTATGGGATTAGTAAATGAACTTGCTGTCCCTGCATTACAGGGTACAGTGACTGAGCCTAATAATGCTGTCTATGACCATATTTTTGACACCAAAGCCAACATCAACAGCCAGTTGAATAATAGTACTGAAAGCATCAAAGTTGAGGACATTGTGGGGATTGAAAATCATTGGCAAGGAGATAGCTTCAAAATGGGAGAATTAGATTGGGAGGGTTTGTTGGCAAATGTCTCCTCCTTACCTTTCCTTGATTTCCAAGTTGAATAATCTCTCTCTTTCTCTATCTCTTCCCTATAATCTTTCCTCCCTCTTTTCTTAATCTTGATACTATTCAATACCATTCTCTTAGGACATTTTGAGATATTCATCTCGAAAATACTTGATTTTTCGACTTCAAAATACTTACTCAATTGCAAATTTTCCTTCGCCTTCTTGTTGATGTTAGGTGGAAGAGCATTTGGCGGCAGGGACATTTATCCTTCAACTCTCTGGTAACTAAAATGAATAATATTTCTTGTGAAAAAAAAAATGAGCATAGTGGATGGATGCTGAGGCGAAGAAGAAAAATAAAGGGATATCTGTTCAATTGTATATGTAGGCTTATGCTTATGAGTAGATGAAATAATATCTGAAGATGAGAATACTTTTAGTAGAAGAATGTACTTACATTAAGAATAATGAAACTGTGGTAGTTGCTATACTAGTTAAAAACAGTATATTAGGGTTTTATTTTTATTTTATTTTTTATTTTTGCCTATCAATAAAATTATGAAACACACATACTGGTTTTATTTTTATTTTTTCCTATCAATAAAATTATGAAATCTCTCTCTCTCTCTCTCTCTCTCCCTCTCTCTCTCTCTCTCTCTCTCTCGGTGGAAACTCTGGAAATAAAATTTATTTTCCAAAAAATTCATATATTTATAAAATTGCAATAATTTAATAAACATTATCAGATTAAAAAGTGCATGAAATGATAAGTCAAGTATTCAAAATTTATAATTTTATCGATTGAGTTTACTATTTAATTTATCGATTTATTTAGTTATATACTTTTCTAGTTTTGAATTTTGTAACAGTTGGCATTTGTAATTATTTCTCTAGTAAGAGGAAGAAATGAACCTTTCAGAGCTAAAATAAAAATAAAATAAAATAATTTTTTTAAATTACTATAAAATGAAAAAATATAATCTTATTAATGAAGAGTAAAATAGGAAATAAATGTTTATTTTGTTTAGAAATCATGGCCTTAATTTCCTTAAATTCAACTGTTTTTTATGCATATAATTTACAAATTATTTTCAATCTAAATTTTAACGATTTACACAAAATATGGCATATATAAAACTCCAGCTTAATATCAGTTGATAAAATTACGAAAAATTTATATTTTAAATAAAATAAAATTTTCAATTCTTATGTCTGGTGGGATTTTCATAAAAGAGCCCTACAATTTTGATACCTTAGTGACTGCAAGAAGTACCTATATAGCAAAGAGCTTAAGTTAACCAGGAGGGAACAAAATAAAAATAAAATCCCCTCAGATTTTATAGAACTCTTCTACAGAATCATATGCATGTCAATTAAAAGTTACTAGTTCGACCCTAATATCACCTAGAAGGGGGCAAATAGGTGAATGTTGTAGAATTAAAATTATCAATTAAAAGTAACAAGTTACTTTTTAATTGTTTCTATATAGTTAACCAATCATGTCAAATTATCCTATGATTTAAATACCACAATCAATAAAATGAAAGCAATAAACAACACAAAATATGTTGATGGAGAAAATTCAACTGGGTAAAAATTCTGGGATCAAGTCAGTAACCTTCATTATAGCAATATGAACTTACTAGCATTGTTGATCTAATTCCTATAATCCCCAAAAACCCACTCGAATGTGATTCGCTCACATCTGTTCTCGATTTCCTAAAATTGTCTATCTTCTGTGATCACCAAGAACACCTTATTTTTGTCTTCTTTCTATGCTTCCGATCCAACCCCTCTCAATCTTTAGCAGGCCTCTGAAAAAACTATTGAGAAAGTACCTTTCTGTATGTGTACGGAAAGTTGGTGTTTTGGATTATGTGGACTTGATTTTTTTTTCCCTATGTTATGGTTGTATGAACTAAAAAATCAAATGATTAATCTAAGGCTTGATTGTGTTCTTGAATCTTTGAATGATATAATGAAAGAGAAATATAATGAACAACCATACCAAAAAAAATGTGTTAGGGCTTGGGTATTTATAGTAGGAGGTGATGAGGTAGTATGTGTTACATAAAACTCTTGAAAAATGGGAACTAGATTTTCACACGTAACACAGTCACTCGAGCAAGAGCCCCAACGACGAGCAAGTAGCTGTTGAGGCAATGTCAGTATTTTTATCACACATTTCCCTTCGGATGTCCAATTGAGATGATTCAAAATACATTAAAAAGCTAACTCAAAGGATGGACTACAATTCTTCTAGGAATACTCTTGTCCAAATTCCAAAGTTTTCTAAGTGAAAAATACATTGCAAGTTGCAACTAAGAATTTGGAACATAATTTGTGCTGCTCTTTGACACTCTTTAGAATTCTAATTGCATTCCTTGATCACATGCGATTTGTTTAGACATCTTGGACTCCTTCAAGGATTATACTAACAATCTCAACTCTTTTAAGTTTAATTTGGATTCAATAACTCCTATTTTGACTTTAATCACAACTCGACAAATTTCTAATACAATTTAATTAGGACTTGATTTTGTCTATAGAATTACCAATACAATATAAATCCTAACATCAACTAACATAAAATAAAGAGAAGATTTGTTTGAAATTATTGTTACTAAATGTTGAACAAAATTGATGAAGACCCAAGAAAAAATCAGCAACAACAATTTCATCGAAATGGAAGGTTTGAACACGATTGTGAATAACTGTCTTCAAATGATATTTACCACTACTAGAGTAAGTTCTTAAAGACTTCAATGGCATAGTTTGCAAAAGTAAACAAATCATAATCCAAGTTTGATCTAAGCAAAATAAACTTTTAAGAAAAATTTATAAAACATGATTTGACATTTGATTTTGATATAAAGGAATCAATTTTATATTTGTCATATTTTTTCAATCATGAAAACTACTCATATATATAGTAATCCAACAACTATGCATGAAAAGGTGCAAATACCAAGCTAAAAATATGTAAAGCTTCACAAAACAACACTAGAATGCAAGCAGCTAACAGTCGAAATTTTTATTTGGTGATCACCAAGTACAACACCAAGTACAACAAAAGTTGTACTGGCTTTTTTCACCTGGTCGGGTGATCGCCCTACCTTGAGCGGGCGATCGCCCAAGCCAATTTCTGGCTTCCATCGTTTTTCTTCTTATTTTTCTCATAGTTGATCGCGTCTCACTTTCAAATCACTCCTATTTGTTAATTTGAACAATATCCAACAATCTTTTACTTGGTCAATTATAAAACAAGTATAAACTCAAGTTTAATGGCACTTTTTCATAGAGTATGAATATCTTTCGATTTGAATCCAACCTTAGCGTAAATCTCACAAAGCAATCATCAAAATCCTAGGTAGCATGAAAGTTTTGAACCTATTATTCCTTATGATGATACCAATGAAATTGCACACCAGTGTCAAGTGTTCCAAGTTCCACACCGTCTTGTTTAGCGTTCTTATGGCCTTGCATTTCTTCTATTTATAGACTTATAAGAGAGACTCTAACTCTCCATTGATGTTGTACTATCTCAAAGTTTATATAGGTAAAGTTTTTACAGTATCTTTATAACTTTTAAAGATACTTGATCTACTAAGCTAAACTTTATTAAAAGTTATAGAACTTAACCCTCATATTCATGACAACCATCACTTATATCCTAGGATAGGGTTTAAAAGGATGATGAAGTGTTAAGTCTATCCGCTTATCGAATGATTTATTGTTGTCCTCTGAACCAGAGTATACTTATTAGTATAGTCAGCTAGGGTTGTCATCATTGATTGATTTAGTTTTGAAGTTTTAGACCCATCCTACTAGTTGTTGCCCGCACTAATTCCCTTTTGAGCAGTTTAGCAAATGGTTCAGCCAAATTCTTATTTGACTTTACATAAATAAGTGAAATTATCCCATCTTTGATAAATTTCCTCACATAATTTTGTCTTAGACTCATATGTCCAGACTTACTATTTTACCTTTCATTGTAAGCCCTTGTTAAAGTTGCTTGACTATCATAAAAGATAGATGTGGAAGAATTATTTGTTTCTCCCAGTAAAATTTCATACATTAAATCTCTAAACCATTTAACTTCTTTTTTATATTTTGGCCATTGCTACAAGTTCGGATTCCATTGTTGAGTGGGTGATATACATTTGTTTCAATGGTTTTTTCAGGAGTCACACTCCTTTAAGGTAAATATGCACATGAGGTGGATTTATTCTCACCTATACAAGACATTTAATTAGCATTAGTAAATTTTTCTAGGATTGCCGAAAATGTAGAATATTGGAGACTTAGATACTTGGTTTTCTTCAAATAATCAAGAACCCTCTCGATAACATTCCAATGTTCTTCACTTGGATTGCTAGTAAACTGACTATGTTTACTAATTGCAAATGCTATGTCTGATTTTGTACATTGCACAATGTACATTAGACTTCCGATAGCACTCGTATACTCAAGTTGTATTATTGTTTTTCCATCATTCTTTACAAGTCTAAACTTGGGTCAAAAGGAGTATTAACCTCTTTAGTGTTCAAGTGATTGACTTATTAATTACATTCTCAACATAATGTAGTTGGCTTAAGATAAACCCCCACTAGTCATGGTGACTTTGATACCTAGTATGGTATCCACTTGACCAAGATCTTTCATTTTGAATGTGAAATATAAAAACCTCTTTATTTCCTTTATACCTTGCATTTGATTGCTTACAATCAACATATCATCTATGTATAAACTAATAAGCATAACATGATTGTCACTGACTTTTGGATATAAATATTTATCAACACTATTATGTTTAAATTCAAAAAACATTATTGCCAGGTCAAACCTTTCTTGCCATTTCTTTGGTGCCTGTTTTATTCGTATAAGAATTTTATTAGTTTGCATATTTCATCCTCATTTTCAGGTAGAATAAATCCTTTGAATTGTTCCATATAGATCTCCTCATCAAGAATTATACAAATCATATATAGAAGCTAAGGCGAATAAAGTCCCAATTGAGGTTATTCTTATGACATGTACATATGTATCGAAGTAATTTATTCATTCTTTTTGTTGATATCCTTTGGCCACTAACGTAGCTTTAAAGGTATTAAGAATATGTCTGCACAGTTATTCCTCCTATATATCCATTTACAACCTATGGGGTTCGATCCAGTTGGAAAATCAACTAATTCCCAAGTGTTGTTTGACATTATTGAATAAATTTCATCATTGATAACTTCTTTCCAAAAGATTATATATCTTGATGACATTGCTTCTTGATAGGTTTCAAGTTCGATTTCTACTTGAAGAAAAGTAGTTCTTGTGACGCTCTTCTCAATTCCCTCAACCTAATAGAAGGGAGTAGTTGAAAATCAAACTCATTCGGTCCTAACACTTACTCTTTTCGAGCTCTTTTGCTTTTGCGAAGTTCGCTTATTTCGTCTTCGAAAGGTATTTCTATTTTGACCTTGCAGAATTAGGAATATCCACTTGAGGTTCCTTTAAAGAATTATTTGAAGATAACAAATTTTCAAAGATCTCTACTTCTCGAGATTCAATAATGACGTTAATTTTCA